AAGACTAATCGATATTATTATCAGCATGCCTATATAGTTTCCTACCTATTGGTTCAATAATACGCTGTAAAAAGCCTTTTCTTCAATTTAAAAATGTTCAAATAGTAGGTATAAAAATATTCTTCAATCCAAATTTCTAATTTATTATGATAAAAATAGAAAACAATAGAGCAGATGCTCACCAATACATAAGAAGATTCGCTTTATAGTCTGTAACGCTTTTGTCTTGAACTAGTTTTCCAAAACATTAATATAATCGTGATACCAGGATTGACTGAAAGCTCCACTCTACTGCAAACTAGTGAAATTATTAAACACTATTCTCGTGCGCGTAAAATATGGTAAAAGAAAAGCATATAAAAAATGACTACGTGAGAGAGAGGCGCTGCTTACAATTATGCCGGATCGTTTTTACACGTTGCCCTTAAAAGCCAGCTGACGGCTAGATATAATTTCCCACTCGATTGAGATTCATTGACACCTGTCAATGAAAGTCTCGTGTAATTGGCAGAGTTTGAGAAATCTTAAAATCTAGAACGTCCTGTCGTTATAATACGAGCAGTTTTTATTGATTTTCGAGCAATTATAATGTATGAGAATGAAAAATTGTTATATGGCTTTGAATGCATATGATTTGTGTACTCGTATATGGTCGAAAATTTCAAAATTGCCGTAAACTACTTATGCAGATGTATTAGAAATATCAATTATATCAGTATTTGAATATTGAGTATGGAATTGATCGTGAAATATTAAAAAGTTAGGCCAAGACCGAGCCATTGGAAACTATTTGTAATGCTTCGCTTTATGTACTTACAACCAATTACTTTCCAGAAAGAAGGCTATTAATTATAAAATAATGTTTGAAGATTTGTCGCCTAACAAGGTCGATAAAAAATTGTCGATAATCTATTACAGGCAAAAGTAAAACATCCCGAGGCACTAATAAAGCGAGAGTGAAACTCGATCCATCGAGTGTGAAACCTAAAAATCTAATCGTCCTTCGTTAGATTTCTCCAGTGCAAAATTGAGCGTGCAATTTTAACAGCGGAAAGTGTCGATCCACTTTTCCACGTGCTCTTGGAACAGGTGGAAAGGAAAGAGAGAGAGAGAGAGAGAGAGAGAGAGAGAGAGAGAGAGAGAGAGAGAGAGAGAGAGAGAGAGAGAGAGAGAGAGAGAGAGAGAGAGAGAGAGAGAGAGCGAGGAAAAGAAAGAAAAGATCACGCAGCCAACGGAAGAAGAGGCTCACTTGCAAAGGCACCACTTAAAGAAACTCGCTCGTACGCATAATAATATCGCCTAAGCCAATTTTTTACGGACTAGCGATTCCATAGACAACTGAAGCGTGCGGGTCTCGGAGTAGCAGTGCGATCGAGACCGTTCACTCAACTCGTATAGTTCTAGTTCGCTCGTCGGCGCTGACACTTCGAGTCACATTTCTTTCCAAAGAGAGAATGCGGGCAGATTGCTTTGCTGACAGGTAGCATGCGAGTTACAATACCGCATGGACTTCGCAAATATGAGGTGGTCACGAGTTTTCATTAACATTGCCGTGCTCGTATCGTTGTTACAACTTACTTACACGATAAAGATGACGAAGCCGTACGATAGTGATGACAAGAGAAACATAATTAGTGGTCTTGTCGACAGAGCATTGCAAGAGCTCGTGCATCATCGACGTATGTTTCTCGACGGCTTTGGCAATGGCACTGAGCTACTCGAGAAGCAACAATACTACGGCATCGGCTACGACGAGCAAAGTAACGTGATAGGTGAGTTATTGAGCTAAGCTTGGCGTCTTAATGGCGCTACAAAGCAGCCGCGAAATGCTTGCTGGTGACATAAAAACACGGATTGTCGCGACTGTCTAACTACTGCACAGGTATTTTTATGACTTCATTACTGTGCTTCGCTCACTGACATGCGTGTCGCGAAAGCATGGGTACGTGGGCCTGCGTACCTATGTATGTATCTGCGCGTGTACTCGTACGGTTACGCGAGTATGTGTGTGCGTATTTGCGTGCGTTTGCATACGCACGCAAAAATGTCACTTATTTTACAACTGCTTTGGGTGTTTAATTTTTCTTTTAAATACCTCTTTTATCATTTTTGTTTAACGTTAGTTTGGATAGATGTGTGTATTCATCTGCGATACCGGGGTGCTTTTGTGAGAGCACGAGGATACTGGCACTTATTTTGTGTAGTATCGAGTAATTACAGAATGCGCTTTCGTTGCTGTAATATTTCATTTTATATGAATCTAATTCGCTGATCAGCATAATTTTCATACCACTTATCATTTCAAAATGAATTTTTCAAGGCGATTAGAATTGTATAGCTGTAACGCACTTGGATTTTTAATACTCGAAAATTGCGTAGCATATAGTTGTTCAAAAGTGGACAAGAAAACAGATACATTGCTAGTGGTTAGATTTCGTGGCTCCGTATTATATTAAGGTACAGTTCAAGTATAAAAAAATAATAAGAAATTTATTTGCAATAAAGATAATTACTGCTCACAAAAATAAAAAATTAATTAGCGGGATCACATTTAATTTCTATATCGATCTCAGTTATAGTAAATAATTATTCAAAAATTGATGCGGTTTATGTTCGATTGAATCAGAAAAGTTCAATGCTCTCTGTTTTTTTCCAAATCATCGTGCATTTCAATTAACAAGGATGACTAATCTTCTTCCGAGAAGTTAACAGCTTTTTTACGGTTTTATGGTAGAGAAATGATTACCTCTTCCGCATGTAACACATTATTTATAGCTTTATTCTAAGAACTCAATAAATTGTTCATATAACGGCTTGATGAACTAAGTAATTTTTATTCATTATTTTATTCGTTATCGGTTAAATATATCAGATTAAATTTACGACAATTGTGCTCTAATTGTTTGTGTAAATAAAACTTATAAGAAATTATATGTTCAGGAAGTATCAACTTATTATATGTCAAATTATTAGCGTAAATGTTTAAATAGTGACTAATTGATTTTAACAGCTTTCTTTATTTGATCTTATGACATCTTGAAATATTTCTTAAATATCAAAAATATTATTTTATTCTATATCTGTAAGCTTTATTTATTCATTTAAAGAAATAATGCAACGTATTAAATTAATTTCCAAGTACTTCCAATTTATTTTCGAAAATTATTCTAGTCGGAAATTCCTCAAAAACAAAAAATGTAATAAAAACAAAAATTCAAATGATTTCTAAAACTATCGCTAGTGTCGCTGACTGAAACGATAAGTCTAACGGAAAGTAATGGTTCACAGGTGAAGGAGAAGGACGAGGCAGAAGAAAAAAGCTAAGACAAATGAACCGTACGCTAATGGCGATTGTAATGGCATTCTCGTTGAAGTTTATGTTTCTGATACCAACTTTCGTTGGTACTCTCATCCTGCTCAAGTTCACTACTGCTCTCGCCGGCTTCTTTTACGCTCTTTTTGCTGCCGTCCTTGGACTTGATCACAAGCATGACTGAAGTTCAAGAATAGAGGATAATGAGAAAGGAATGAAAAAGAAGTAATGATACACAAAGTCAATGGTTGTTGATTCAAAAAAAATACGAACAGATTCGATTTTTATTTATCTCTGTTTTGCGATTAAAAAAGAAAAACAAACTTGCTTGATTCTTTACAAAATAACATTGCTGCATTAGAGACCGTTACAAAATCGACACGTTAATCAAATAAATAGTATAAATACAATATAATAAATAAATTAGTTTGTAATCGTCAATGCCATTCACCAGAGACTAACGATCGAGCGAGCACATACATTACGGCTGCACATTTCTCACGTTTAACTCGGCCGAATGAATGATTGATTTCGAAGAAATTCATCGAAAATTACAGTATAGAGAGAGAGAGAGAGAGAGAGAGAGAGAGAGAGAGAGAGAGAGAGAGAGACAGACAGAGAGAGAAAGAGAGAGAGAGAGAGAACGAAGAAAAGAAATATCAGTCATTTAGAGAAGCATAAAAAGAATGTAAAGAAAAAGAGGGAAGTCGGCAAAGTCAAGTTGAGAATATGCACGCCAAGAGGTTATTCCTCTCTTTCTCTCTTTTTTTTTTAGCCACTCGCATCACACACGCGTGAGCATTGCTCGTCTCTGCTACCGGACTACGAGATGATTAAGTGCTTTGGCTCAGAGCTGCCGCTGCACGAACGGGTTAGTTGCTGTTTAATGACGGTAGTATTATACATGACGGAGGAGCAAGAAAACAATTTTTTTGTTACTTTGTAGTAGTTTTCGTCTTCGTATAGCTGTTCTGTCGTCATTATGGAGTCCGTTTGATCGAGTGTGTATTAATTTTCGCTTTAAAAATAAATAAAAACGTTTGTGGTTGTGAGATGTATAACATCGAGTTTTACTTTTGTTGTTTGCCTTAAAGATGAAAAAAAAACCAGTTACTAACTTGTTACGTACTAATACTGAACGGACTAATTACAATTAATATGAGCACTTTACAATTTTACAGGTGATGTATAGTAGACATTTCCAAGGATTTTTTGTACGACGGCAATTAATAGAAACAACACGTTCGACGTTGACGTAAGAATACGTCTTCGACATTCGCCAATCGATATTGAATGTATTGCTGACTTCAACGATCTATCGCAATGATAAAAAAGTTGCCGAGAGAATTTCAATCGCACAAACTTAACATGAAAATAAAGGCTTGTAGTAATCTTCATAAAAAATTGTCGAGAAAACGAAAAATTCTCTCAGCGATAGTGTAGAAATACATTGGCACATTGTAAGCACGTATCATTACGTGAGATTAAATCTCGGCGACCGATTAAAGAAACAGAGAGTTCGTCGAGTTAATATCGTCGTGTCAAGTTCACAGTCGTCATTTGTCACGTCACTGTCACACGAATAATTGAGAAATAAAAAAAAAGTAAAAAAGACACCCGCAAGAGAGATGATAACAAGGAAGAAAAAGGATGAGAGAATGAGAAAGTCTTATCTAGTCGTCAATGTCTACTTATGCTGATGTGCATAAGCGAGATTTTGTGCGTACTCGATGTCCTTGAGGCTTCGGTCCCAGCCACCGCCGCCGCCACCGCCACCACCGGATTGCCATCCATGGCCGCCGCTGTCGTTGTTCTTTTGTGAGAGCAGTTTCTTCAAACCGATGATCATCGACAAGACCAGTGCGATCTTACTGATGATCAGCGCCTTGCCAGCAAGCAGGAACAGTACCATCATCATCAAAGGTACCATCGCAGCCATCTTCATACCCAGTCCCATCATCATCATTCCCATCATTTTCTTCATCTTGCCGCGTCCTTCTTCCATCGACCTTTTCAACTCGGTCGGTGAAGTTTTCGGCAGGCGAATCTGTACGTTGAAGCCGTTCATCAGCGACGACACTCGATCCAGCAGAATGTCGTTCAAAGCATCTTCGCGCGATGCACCACGTCCGAGACTCGCTTCGATTTCCGAGATATTCTTGACTGGCTCGACTTCGGCACCCGGAGCCTTTACCAATTCGAGATTATCGGCTATTGGTAAATTGTCAATGCGTCCCAGACGATCGAAAAACGTGATGGCTTTTTTCTTGAGACACGCCGACACACCGACATTGCGCTGTTGGCAATCCTCGTAAAGTCGAAATGCAGCTCGGTAACCTCGTTCGATGAAGCTCGACTCTTCTTGTGCCAGACTTACACCGATGAGCCCGAGTACGAGCAACAAACACTTCCGCGCGTGCACCATGTTTGTTTAATTACGTATTCGACTATCGGCTCTCTGATAGCGTGTGTGTTTCTTGGCGCACCACTGGGGAGACTGGCAATAGAACGGTCGCCGGGTGCCGACTATATAGTGGATCCCCGAGACCTCGCGATAGGTGAAAAAGGGGATGCGCACTTCTCTCCCACGTATTCGCGCAGCATTCATTCCTCTCTCATTGTGCAACACATTCACCAAGAGCCGCCGAAGGACCGCGACTGCCGCTACGCGAGAGAGGGGAGTACGGACGATCTGTGTATGGTGGTTGTATGTGATGACTATGTGTTTTCTCATGCTATCTCTTCTCCGTGTGACCTTCCTGACACAGAGACCCACACTCGCCTCACTCTCTTCTTGCTAGATCAAGACAGAGAGAGAGAGAGAGAGAGAGAGAAAGAGCAATTTTTTTATTTTCTGCATCCATACGATAGGTTTGGCCCCCTCGAGAGATTATTTTCTTTCTCTTACTCCTTTCTCCGTATTCTCCTCCTTGCAGAGACACGTTCGACATTCAAATTCATGCCGCATAGAATCGGCAATCCTTGGATTATTATCCTTGGTCAGAAATTATCATGATTGTTAGGGGGGTAACTTTCTCTCTCTCTCTCTCTCTGCCTGTCTTTCTCGCTTATTTGCTTGATTATTTGTGCGACCGCGTGTCCTTATGAGTGTACTCGAGTGCTTGTGGTTTGTAATTTTGCTCGCGTTTACACGCTGCTTACCACTTGAAGTGTTTGTACTTTTGTCGAGGACTTTGTTGGCTTTGGTGATTTGTTATTTTCAAATAAAAGTACTCATCTAATTTTATTTTCTTTTCTTTTGTTTATTTTACTTCTTACAAGTACACAACTTTTTACGGTCAATTAATTGATAATTACGATTAATTGATATCATTGTACAATTCTTTATTGAAAATTTACGACACTTATGCTTTGCACGTGCTTTGCTCATGGCGTATCTACTGCGTAACCCGTAGCTTATGTGTAAGTGCAAGCGGAGTGCACAATAAATTACACGGCGCTTAAAACTTTTGTGGTTTTGAAAATTGATATCTTTCTGAAACTTGAATGACCACAGTCTTTGTGAGAAAATCTCTGTTGAATATGCTCATCTTCTCAGTGTTAACGTATACTTTTACACGAAAATTGTTGAATAGGTTATTTTGATGATGAAAGTTTTGATTCGAAAAATATTGGATCGTGGTATAAAAATTGTTTTTTCAAAGTGTAATCAAAAGTAATATCGGTATAAAATTGTTCCTTTCACCTTTGCAAACGTAACTTTTTTCACTCTACTTTCTAATCCTTAAAAGCCTCGGGACAAATGCCGATGCATCTGCCTGAAATCAGCATCGTCACGAAGAATCATCGATAGAATTTAGACTTTCCACACCGCAGGAGCTGCGGTCAAGGTGTGTGTGACAATAAAAAGGGAACACAACAGCAACAAGAGTATTAAGATGCAAGAGCACAGCGGCATCTCGTCGGTAAGATCTTGGATGGCCTCCTGAACCCGTGTCGTGACCCTAGAGGTAAAACTAGTCCAGAGGAGAGGGAATTTTCTGCTACTGATGCTCCAAGAAGTTATTTACGCTTCTTTGTCGGACGCTACCAGGCTTCTTCGATCTTATATCGTTACAACGTATCTTAAGACAAGACCGCGGATGCTTCAGTTCGACTTCCTATACGAAGCTTTAATAGTCCTAGCAAGCGCACTTTCTATCGCTTATTATACATATTTCCATTTCGATCGGATATAACTGTACAATCTTTTTTTCGTGTGGGCGAAAGGGTTTCTTCGATTAAACCCGCATTGCTTAGCAATCGTTGTTGAAAAAATTTACCGTTCACTCTCTCTCTCTCTCTCTCTCTCTCTCTCTCTCTCTCGCCTTCCTCTTTCTCCTATTCTAGTATAATTAGAAGAAAATGCACGGTTAGTTATTCGTATGTACAAAAACAGATGAAGGAAAAAAGTGAGGGATAATCGTCCTGAAGACACACATTCGTGTGCTATGAGTATAAATAATGCAGTGACCCAAAGGTGCGAAAGGTGAGTGCGTATGAAAAATGGAATGGTCATTAGAAAGTTTAAAAAGGCCTCGTATCTTTGAAAATCATACAAAACGTAAAGAGCATCGGTGATAAAAAAAATATCCGACTCATCATCGGCACAAAAAGCCCCTTCTCTTAGATATTCGTACACACACATGGATTATCGATCATCGCGAACGCGAAACGGCAAACGAAGGAAATAGCACGAGATATTCCACGCAAAACGGCCATATAGCTATATGTAAGCGCATACCATGCGGCCATTATTATGACTCACGCATCTTTAAATATCATTGCGGAGGCATACAGTTACTACTAAAAGTTTTCACACTGATTTTTTTTTATTATTATGAATATCTAGTACTGGTATATGAGTGGTGAGATATGAATTTCAATGGGTACCATTTCTATGTTGATATGTACGTTATGATAGCGGTATACACATTTCTTAATGTACATATTTCTTTGGGGCGGTAAATTTGATGTGTGTTTTGCAAAAATTTAAATGAATAGTATGCTCGTTTTACGTCAATTCATTTAGTACAAATATTTGAAAGTTTTTCTAAGCAAGACAAATCTAATCAAAATATTTAAGTAAAATTTCGATATGTGATTATATTACTTAAAAAAAGGAAAGCAAGAAAAGATTAATTAAGAATGAAACATTAGTTACTCAAAAAAGGAAAGAAAAGAAACTCATCCAACATGTTTTCCATATCAACTTCAAATAAGTACGATTCTTTAATTTAAACTATTCATGCGAGGAAGCAAAAAATCAAAGACCCGTACCTGTAATGAAATTCCGCATCGACAGTCTAAAAACACCGTATGCACACAGCTATTTAAAATGTATCTGACTGTCAGGATAATTTCAAATGGCAATACAACATCCATGGCAGCAGCAGATACTGCATAATTCATCGAGTTTAAGGCATTACCATGCGTGTCTATACTTTTGATTCTTACTGTACGAACGCACCTTGCATCGAGGTTATACCGCGCATCTTTTGCTATAGGCAAGACCCAACGACATTGGCCCCTTACCTACTCTTGGCCGATTATCCCATAGCCGAAGGCTCATAATCCATGCACGGAAAAGACTTTCATTCCTCGTGTGTGGCGGTGGCGGAGGTACAAGCATATTCGCGCTTTTCTCTCTCTCTCTCCTCTCTCTCTCGCTCTTTTTATCGCATGCAAGCTGAAGAAGTTTTACGAGTTTCTAAGTGGATTGTTGGTTGGAGAACGTTAATTGAAAAGTCGAGCAAAGTTATTTATTGATATAGGCGGCAACGTATTTGTTGGTTGAGATGTGTTTGTTCGTTTTCTGTTCTTTAACAGGTGTACTTGAGAATACATCAGTGTTCTAATGATTGGTCGCCAAGAAGTTATGCGGAAAAAGAATTTAGTTTTTGAGGTTTTCAAACATAGTTAATACAGTAAGTTATCACTAAGCTTCTAAAAATAACTTTTAAAGCTTCTCGCTTTAGTGTGTACTTGACACCCTTGAATTACAAACTGCAAAGAAATCATAAAACTATTATTATTTTGACCACCAATCACCAAAATAAATATATTCATTAACAACAGCGTAATCCAACAATGAAAGAGCCAATGTGCTTTAATGAAATCAAAAGTATCTGGAAAATAAATAAAAATCTTGTCGAAAACAATGATCCCACGCTAATTACATTCTTCCTCTTGCGTGAGCATGCTCTCAATTAATTCTTAACGGTCAGCCATCAGAAATATTCTAATGACCCATTGTGATTCGCTTGTATGCGTATGTGTATCTGTGTATGTGTGTGTGCGTATGAGATATACACCCATCTCATCTCTCTCTCCCATTGTACGTGCGTAACGTTGTTTTAACAGCATAATTTACAGTGTGGCTTTTCTCACGTGAGAGCAGAGATTTCAGTGCACGACGTATGTCTCCTGTCTGTTGATGTTGAATAAAGAGCGAGCTAAGAAAACAGACGAACGGAATCTTCTTTCTCACACTCGTGATAATCGCTGCCCGATATCTCACCTTGATCTAATTGCATGATAGTACGTGCGATGCATATACTTTAAATGTCTCTTTTATTGCAGCGTAATTTTCGGGTGGTTGTGCTAATTAACATTCTTTTCGTTAACAATCTTAGAAGTCTATTAATTATGGTAATCTTACCGTGAATTCTATATCTTAGAAACCTGAAAACGTCATGTACGGTTAACGGAATGCTACAAAAATAAACGACATGGGACAAAATCTGCCCGTAGTGTTATTTTTTTTGCTATTGTTATGTCTTACTTAAGCTGTGAAGCTTGGGAAAGTAAGCCATGCGCGGAGAGTTGCACATATGGTAATTGTGAATTGGACTGCCCTGAGTGAGTTTGCACACATTAAAAATAGAACTTGATTACATTCGACTTCTAAGATTAGATAAAAACACACCTGGAAGAAGAATTTGCATACTATTATCATAATTGTTCAATCAGCACTTACTTACATTTTTGTCGTAGTTTAGTGTTTTTTATCGATATGGTTCCATATCGTACGGAAACTTTAAGACTTTTAAAAACGTCTTAAAATAACTGCAGATAAAATGTAGAGGGGAATTGACAGTTTAATTGCTATTTTGATAATGAATGGCTTGTCGATGATAACTATCATTGTCAGTGTATTATTATAAGAGACTACGATTATAAATTCACATATAATAAGAAATTAAATTTGTACGTATAAATGACAAACGACAAACTAAATGCGATGATTGATGTTTCAAATCGATTGACATTTTTTGAACAAAAAATGTGTACAACGAAATTATTCCAAAAGTAGCTACAACGAGTGCGCATAGGAAGAATTATCTCTTTAATTCTCCATAAGTAACGGGCAAGAAATCATAGTGGAACAAGTAAGACATGCATCAAACGTTGTAGATCGAAAGATGAGAGTCACGAAACAGTTTCTGGTAATCACGAACGTGTATGCGCG